AAAAACCTATCACTTATGAAGAGAAATTCAGTACTTGATTAACAAGGTAAATTAACTATGAAAATGCTGTTTAGTGTCGGAATATTAAATGATACATGAATAAATATCTTTACAGCAAATGCTAAAACGAATTTCTTCACGATTTTTAACTCATAAAGACACATCTTTCAGTATACATAAAAGTTGAAGCAAGCACAACAAGTGTAATGGGGTAATGTCCTTCAGTTCGTTCACTGTTACTATTATGCATCTTCTCCTTTAGCATATCCGAAAGTGTTAGATCTGAGCTCAGTAATACCTCGCTCACATTTCAGAATGAAATATATTCTGTTGCGAGCACACTGATGCAAAATCTATAAAATAGAGCACCTGCTCTATTTTATAGAGCAGTAGTACCTGCTTACGAAAAAAGGTAGAAAAAAGAAATAAAATAAACCGGATAGTGAACAACAGCTTTCCCAATATTTAATAAAATTGACAATTTTTAATTCATTACAGTTTTATATTAGGTTTCAATGCAATCTCAATCAGCAGCTGAAGATATTTTTTGGATAATTTTATCAAATGAATTATAGAAGAATAATTGAGAGGAAAACCATACTTTAGAGAAAGAATATTAATTAATTTCCTCTTTGCTTACGTAAAATGCCTACTTCTTAGCATAAAATTTTCTAATCTCTCTAGGTCTAAATATATGATAAACTTTGATAACAAAAATTGTTACAAATTCGCTTAGAATTCAGATCTGGTTGAAAGTACTTACGAACTGAAGCAGGAAATTTAGAAAATGAAGACAAAACAGGCTGAGAAAAATAACTTTATAGTATTTGGTACAACTCACAATGACAATCTGACCACCATTGAATTATAAGGTATTTCTCCCACTTCCCTAGCGTGCCTTCGTGGTGTAACGGTAGCACGCTGGGCCGGTATTCCAGAGGTCCGTGGTTCGATTCTTGGCGAAAGCGGTTGTTAATTTTTCATCTTTCCTGCTTCAGAAAAAAAAATCCTAATGACTCTACAAGTGGCGCCCGAACTAAAAGGGTTGTGGATGATGATTCTCCGCACCCAGGATTTGGCGACTAGGTCCCCTAAAACCCTAGTCGCCCTTTAAAAAGGGGAGTATATAAGGTATTTCTCCCACTTCCCTAGCTTGCCTTCGTGGTGTAACGGTAGCACGCTGGGCCGGTATTCCAGAGGTCCGTGGTTTGATTCCCGGCGAAGGCGGTTGCTAATTTTTCATCTTTCCTGCTTTCAAAAAAATCCTAATGACTCTACAGAATAATGGTTGTAGGAAAAAGCATATAAATGGCATAAAATATATATACATGAATGTTATACAGAAATTGGAGTCATTATGCAATAACTACCTATGCTATTTTTTTTCGCAAACTGTTTTTACTTTTCTCATTATTAAAATTGTTGCACCAAGGTTAAAACAAACTGTGAGAATTGTGAGTAAAGATAAAACATGAAAATGTTCAATTTTCTAAGTGCTTAGCTCTAATTAGCGACACGTTAGAAGAACTTAAATGGTACAAAGTCCAGATATGACGCAATTTTTATGTAAAATGACACGACTAAAATCGTATTGATGAAACGACGTAATGAGTTCCGTGATGTGCCACTTATCTACACTTATCACAAACGGAAAACAAGAGAATCACTGAACTTAGAGATGATAGTTTTTCACTCTAACAGATTTCTAAGCTTTTAACCATTTAGAATTATAATCATTGTAATTTAAGTCACTTAGGTATGTCAATACTGTTCAATGCTGTGTATCTCAATGGTGATGAGAAAAACGACGAACTCGGTTGACAGCAAGTGGTGGCCAAAGGTATAATTCTTCTTGAATGAAGCTTTGGATTAGAATGGCGGATAGAGATTTATATTATATCGAGAATGAACTTGAACGTCATATAATAAGCTCAGGAATTCCAGCAGGGTCTATATTCATTTCTCGTAGAGCCACTGGTATGGACATTCCCAAAAATGTCTCAGAAGCCGTTTTCTAATGAAAACCCTAGAACTCATGGTGCCTGTAACAGACAGAAATAGACAGTCCAGACTTGATATGCTACTGCTGCCTTCCGTATCTCCAGATTTGCCTCACATCGAGCACATCTGGGATATTACTTATCCTTTTTTTTTTTTTTTTTTTCCCCATTTTTGCAAAAAGAAGAGACATCTGCCAGTCTTGCTTTACGTGTTCAAGTGCTTGTAGCGTGGCAAAACATTCCTCAGATAACTATTAAAGACTTCATTGTTAGCATGCTAAGAATTATTAATACATGGATTTCCGCGCGTGACAGTCATGTATCATACCGAAAAAAACGAGATGATTTGCATAGTTTTACCCAGTCTTTGCCATTTTGCATATAATAAACAAGTCTTTCCATCCTGTGAATTTCAGATTCCTGGAAAATCCATTCCTTATTTGCTGTTACTAAAACTCTTGCACACTCCATCCAACTTCTTTAACTGTTGGTGATCTGTCTTACCAACTGAATTGCGCAGTACAATGAGAGAGAATATTTTTCATAATATTTTGCAGCTTTTCATGAATTCCAATCTTGAACTTAAATTATGAATTACTAGACTTTTATTAGTATATCAAGTAATTTAGGAAATAATATTGTTAAGGAATTTAAGCCTTGCTCATTGCCTACTAGTGTAGTAGTATAACTAGTAATCGGAAGGTCTAAAATTCAAATCCTGGAGAAGACATAGTTGATTCTCCACGTGTCTCAGCTTTCAAAGGAATTTGTTCCTTCTACAGTGAATTTGATTAAAAAATGATAATTCGTCATCAGCTCGATTTGGCGACTGGGTAAACTCCCTCCTTAGTCACTGACTTCAGAACAACTATGATCTACTAACTTCTGTTTTAATTTAATCAATTGGGCCTATATAACCCTCTTTTTCACCAAAAGTTCTGTGAAATCATAAATATGCGAAATGAAGAACTCACTCTAAGCTATTTTTCTTATGCCAAATCGAAAGAAAAGAATGTTCTTGACTCCAACTCTTTTTCTCCGGCGACGTCGACCAAAAAAATATGTCTCTAAATGCAATAATAGCTCCGTAACAACTGTAACTGTTTTTTATTTATCGCACAATATCTCAAGCTCACAATTATAAATCATAGCTGTCTTGGAGTCGTTTCCCAGTCTCTCTCATAGGCCAGCAGAGGCGACTCTGATAAAAGTCACCACCACCAAAAAAGATAAACAATAGAAATAAGAATACAAAGGAAAAAATATTTGACTTTCTCTTTTTCGCGTGTATCTTTAGAGACAGCAATTTTTTACGGAATGTCGAAGCATCGAAAACGCGAATTTGCGGGGCTCCACTCTGTTGCATGTAACAGGGAAAATGCTTGAAGATACAAGAAACACGATATCACGTTTACCGCAGCCAAGCGATAAAACAAATACGACCTGCTTAGTCCAAGAAAAATGAAGTTTCGACTGGAAAAACCTCCAAGAAATTTAAAATAGTGAAAAATCATATAAAATGTCCTTTCATAAAAGAAAAATTATCGTACATGGTTATTCTATCCATTATCCATAAATCAATTAATTACATAGATTTTGAAACTGCTCAAGATCTTGTTTTATTAATTACAAAAAACTGAAACAAAATGCTAAAAAATCAAAGCGATACTTTTTATATATTGTGCTGGATTTTCGTAATTTGTTGTTTTAACTGAAACACAATTACACCCTCCTCGTTTTGTAAATTAAAAACCATTACCTATACCAATTTTTAAAACTTAAGGAAAAGTACCGTTTAAAATTACTATTACATTTATAGTAGTGTCATATAAAATGGGTGAATCGAAATTTATTAAACATAAAAGCACATGTAAAAATTTTATGCTATGGAAAAAATGCAGATTTATCGTTTTGAGTCATTTGAAAACGATATCTAAGCCCGACTTTGCCTTAGACAGTCCTCTTTTGGCAAAACGATAGATTCCTGTCAAACAAGGTATAATTTTTGTTTAAATAACGTAAATATGTAACTTTTCTCCACTCAATCTTAAATACCTGCATTTCGAATTTATTTTACCTTAATATTTCTACTTGTTGTATTAAAATGCATAGCAGATAATAATTCAAAAAAAATGATAATGAAACACACATTCTACATACTACACCAATCCATAAATGTTTTCTGCGAAAGTAAATCACTGAAACAACCGGCTTCGTCTTAATACGCTGTGTTCACATCGCAGCAACTTTGAGTATATAACGCACTTTCGTTACCAAAACCTTGAAATATTTTGTAAGAGTGGGACAGGAAGTTAATTAAAAGGTTATATGGGCAAGAGGCTAATAAAGTACTTAAAGTAAAGCATGTAAAGAGCTATCTGAAAAATGGAAACGTTGCGTTTCTGGCGAAACTGGCCGTATTCATGTTCCTCATGACGTAAACTATGAAAAATCCAAGCAGTCAATTGCTTTATTCTGTGGGAGTAAAACCTAGGATTAACTATCTAAGATTCAATTTTAAGAAATTAATGGGCAGCATAAAATAGAAAGAAACATTCCTTGCGATAATAAAAACTCATTTAAAAAAGAGTGTGCTTGTCACGGTAATCTTATATATGGTTATTATGCTGTATCTTAATAAATCTTTGCCTTCAGTTCATATTTCCCGGCGTTATTAATTTTAATTAGATTGCTCAGCCATAAAACAATTATTACTGGTTGCATGCGGGTATGCTGTGCAGATCTGCTTTCTATAATAATATTTAATAGAAACTCACAGCCACTAAATAGTTCTTACTTCACCGAATACGAAAACATTTTCTCTAGTACCCGTTTTTTCCATTAGACTGCCTATTCCTTACATTTGTTAAGATAAATTTCCCCAAAATTTACATTCATTTCCTCTACAACAATATTTCCTAATATGACAATTACTTTCTGATGCTTCTTTTCAAATAAAATGCTTAAATTATTTCATTACATCATTTATTACCATTTCAGGAACCTATCGCCTCCAGTATAGAGCCTGCAGCTTCTAAAAATCCCAATCAAGAACCTTTTTCATCTAATGAAATTGGCTATTCAAGAAGACCCAATCTTGGTTTCGCTATACGAAACAAAACCATCCTCATTATCTTTGAATCTAAAGCACCAAATTATAATGGAGAAAAAGCTGTCGGTGAATACAGATTTTAAAGATATTTGGAGAACGTTCGTCGAACGTTCTTCGAAGAAAGAGAATGTTTTGTGCCATCGGACAATATGTACCTTACTCAAGTAAACAAAGTATTTGTATTGCATTGAAACTATAACAAGATGACTCCTGAAATGAAGTTTTTCTCTGTAACTGTCAAAATAATGTGTTATTAAACATTTCAATCACACTATGAATTTGTGAATACCATCGATACTATATCGCAGTCAAGTTGTAGAGTACCTCACTTTGGAATTCTAAGTTAATGTTGGAAGTGAGGAATCTAAGAACTGATAAGCGAATAATCGCTTGCGTTCGGTGACATGAAACAACAAGATAGAAGGGTAACTAACCCTTATTATTCTAATAAGATTTAACACAACTCCGCCTGGGAGTGTACAAGCAAAGCCCGCACTTGGACTTGAACTTAAAAGACTAAGAATTAAACTAAAACTAAGATTATCTAAATACGAATAAGTATAGCCGAAGCTATCAAGGTTCAATTTCAGTTGGCCCCTTAACTTATTTTACTACGAAGCTTAGCAAGGGCCTGAGTACGGCCGAGCGAAATAACAGCTTTGAGAGAGAGAGAGAGCGGTCAAAAAGGCAGACGCGCGTAAATCAGAAACTCTGATTCTCTCTCACTCTGTAAGTAACTTCGTGGTTTAAATACCGCTCCTCCTCATTAAATATTCAGCAAGATTCCAAAAGTACGTTCTGGCCGGAAGTAGTAAGTTGAAGTTAAGAATTTGAGCGGAAAGGAACTTTAACTTAAAATTTAACTGTTAATAAAATTAACATAATCCTTACAAAGTTAAAATTCATCTTCTGGCATTTCAAAACAATTCTGCTTTTAAGGTATATTTCTCCCGCCTTCTTAGCATGCCTTCGTGGTGTAGTGGTCAGCACACTCGGCGAGTATTCGAGAGGTCCGTGGTTCGAGTCCCGGCAAGGGCATTGCATATTTCTTCAATTTTCTGCATCAAAAATACTTAATAAATCTACAATGGCGCCCGAACTAAAAAAAGGTGGTAGAGGATGATTCTTCACCACCAGGATTTGGCGAGTTGGCCCCTTAATCCCCAGTCGCCCTTTAAAAAGGGGAGTATATAAGGTATTTATACCACCTTCTTAGTATGCCTTCGGGGTGTAATGGTCAGTATGCTCGGCGCGTATTCGAGAGGACCGTGATTCAAGTCCCCGCGAGGGCATTGCTCATTTTTCCTCTCGCCTGCTTTAAAAAAATGCCTAATATCTCTACATGCTTTTATAACGATTGTATTTAAGCTTTTAAGGGCCAAATCGTTTTCTTAATTTAAATGATATGTTGAAAACTCACTGGCTAGATTCTTTCTGTAGCTGACAGGCTTTCAACTTCACCTTATTCTATTTTCACTAAAAAGAAAGAAACAATAATGTAAAAAACAAGTAAAGTTTTTTTACTTGTAAAGACACGCGGAATTATAAGATTTAGAGAGGTCGAAACTCGAATATTTGCGTGACTTGCAACGCTGAAATTAGAGGAAACAATGCAATAAATATAACTCAAAGGTAGAAGCCCAGAAATAAAACAGTCCATTTAAAAAGAGGCCACTATCATCAGCTATCATCAGCTTGAATCTTAACAGTAGCGATTTAAAAGACATACTAGTGGCAGGCTCTGGCCCTAACACAAAGGATTTTACTTCCTTCTAATTATGAATATCTAGAAATGCAGAAACATTTGTCTCCATAGTACTTTCGATTCTTGCTAAATTCTGCCAAATTCTGTGTCCTCGAGGCATAAAAAAACACACTGTAAATTTACTTTCTCTGAAGAGGTTGGAGTGGGAACGAGAAGGAAAATAAGAAATAATCTAATATTAGTAAGTTGATTTACAACCTTACTTTGTTTGATCAACCAAAACAAGTAAATATTGTATATCAAAAGTTTTCTCATTTTTCGCTGTAGTGCCAAATATGTAGCATCAGAAAATAAGGCAGAAAATGAAATCATTCAAACGTAACGTATCGTTAGTGAAAACAAGAAAGTTTAAACTTTCGGCCTCAGACAAAGTGTTAAAATAATCATAATTTTCAGAAATCAGCTTTCTGTAATAATATTTCCTGCAGTACTTTTTAAGCTCTTAAATAGCATTTGATTTCTCAATCTATTTTTATTCTGTTGTTGAATCCTTATTCTTAACGTTTTGATAGCTTCATAATTTCTATGTCCTAATCTTCTGTGCCATTTTGTTTTCAATCCTTAAAGTAACGGCAGTTTTAGCCCTTTCTTCTTGTGATTCGATTATTTTATTTAAATTTTGTTTTGCTTTTGCAGTTGTTATTTTATTGTTTTATTTTTCCCTTACTCTGCAAATATCTTCTTCATATTCAACGGTAAACCATTCGTTCACGATGTTTCGTACATATATTAGTCCTCCTGCGAGATCTAGAAAGTACAAAATATCTCCGAGTTTTATTTGTACTTGATTACCTTCGTCGTCTATACAGTATAAATATCCTTCTCCAATGGCTTCATATTTCATTTGAGTTCAATTAGCAAATGTCATTTGCTCTGGTTTTGCTTCTGTCTAATTTCGTGAAAAATTTTATGTTATCAGTCATGTGACAGGTAGCTCCTGACGACGTCAACAGTGATTCACTTTTCAAAGCAAAATATGTTTATTATGATTCTCTTTCAAATAATACTTCAGTGAGCTGAAAATGCTCGTTTCTGCTCTGAAAGAAGCAGGACTCAATCTTCTAGTATGACCATCTACATCTCAAAATCCTGTTCCCATTAGCACTATTCATAGATAATTACGTCAGAAAGTGCACTCCCGTAAGATTTATGATATGGAACGCCTGCGGGCTCTCCACCAAATTCACGGAACTTCATCAATTCTTAAATGAGCTGGTGTGTTGGTGTATTTGATTATGGCAAAGCACACTAGGGCTATCTGCCTAAGAGGAGGGATGCCTTCGTGGAGGACTTTCTAAGGGAAACTGGCTCGTATACACGTTACACATGGGGAAAACCACGAAACCGCTCATGCAGCCAGCCCGTTCGCGGGATCTTAAATGAGCATGACATAGACATTGCACTGATTTCGGAGACTCATGCCCAGCCCTGTCTTGGACTAAAAACTTCAAAATATTATTCCTAACGCTGTGATAGGCTTTCTCACAGAGGTGGTGGTGTTGCAATCTATGCAAAACGTACCCTTTCCGTCATGCCTCATACGAGACTCTAGAAACTTTAATTGTGAGCAAGTTACTGTGTGTGTCACCCTCCCTACGTATAATCATCTTTACTTTTGCGCGGTTTATAATCCTCCTGCAAACAGACTTTGTGAAAATTTTTTGGACACTATTTTACTTACTATCGCTGCTCGCGATTTTAATGCTAAACATACTGACTGGAATTGCCCGAAAAGTAATAACAATGGCAAAGTACTTCATGAATATATTTCTCAGCATCCAGTGACAATTCACGCCCCTCCTGAATGTAATAGACGACCCAGCCGGATAGAACTCTCGGACATACTGGATATTGCGATCACTACTACTACTATTCCTATCTCCATGGAAGTTCTCCACGAACTTTCATCCGATCACCTCCCCGTGATTGCTACGCTAGGTGTGACTAAGACTATGAAATACACCACGAAACGTTTTACAAATTGGAGACCTTTTGAAAATTTGATGAAAAATTCCCCACCTCGGCTTCAAAATCTTCATACCATGCACGGAATTAACTGTGCTATCACTGCATTATCTGACAGTATCAAAGGTGCAATTTCGGAAGCTAGTGAGACTTTTCCTAGCAATGATAAAATTTTCCGATTTCCTCCCAAAATTCGTCAGCTCATGAGAGAGAGAAACCGGCTGAGAAAGTGTTTTCACTTAACATGGGACCCGGCTCTCAAACGTGGCATCAATCGGCTTAATGAGTTCATACAAAAGGATATTAAAAACTTTCAATCTGAACTTTGGGATGAAAAAAATGTTGAATCTTGATACCAATGATGGCTCCTTCTGGACACTTATTAAAAACTTAAACTACCTTCTCGAGCAATCGGCCCCTTTACTACAATGATAATGTGGCAATATCCAATAAGGACAAAGCTTCGATCTTTTGAATTAAACACTCTCCTGCGAGTCAGAGATTATTTGAACGCTCCAACTGTCCGTCATCCTATTACTTTTGCCGCTCCTTCTGAAACTGCAAATATTATTAAGCAGTTAAGACTGAAAAAATCTCCTGGTATCGATTGGATTTCAAATGCAGCAATTAAAAATCTTCCTGCGAATATTAGATGCAGCTTAACAAGTACTTTTAATGCTTGCCTCACAATGTCGTACTTTCCCACCCCATGGAAGATAGCAAATGTAATTCTGCTGCCAAAATCCGGAAAAGATCACTCAAATCCCGACGGATATAGACCGATAAGCCTGCTGCCGGATTTAGGTAAGGTCTATGAGAAAATTATTCTGAACAGGCTAAAACCTTACTTTCACTATCTTCCGCCGGAACAATTTGGTTTCCGACGGTTTTTGGTTCATCTCTCGACGGCTAAGCAACTCGTTAGAATCACTGAATTTGCAGGAGAAGCTCTCCATTGCAAGCTCAATGTTGCTATTCTCATGCTAGACGTGGCGAAAGCCTTCGACCGCGTCTGGCATGAGGGTTTAATAGCCAAGCTTATCGATCTCAACCTGGACAGAGAACTGATTTTACTAATCCACTCTTTCACCAGTTACCGGACTTTTAGAGTTTCTGTTGGATCGGAATTATCTATTACAAAAATCATGGCAAGCGGCGTCCCCCAGGGTTCGGTGACCGGCCCTCTTCTCTACCTTTTCTATGTGTCTGATTTCCCACGGATACATCTAAATCATAATTCGTTGTTAGCCTGCTATGCTGACGACACAGCACTTGCGGTGAAGTCTATGAACATAAATCACGCGATCAAGAAACTGCAGGATGTTATTCCCTCTATCGAACAATAGTGCAATTTCTGGAAAATCCGAATAAATGCCCAAAAATCACAGCTGCTACTTATAAGGAAAAAGAAACGCAGTGTACCTATAAAGAAATGTGTTCTCCTTTTTAATGAAGCAGTTCCCATTGTAAAACAAGCCAGATATCTTGGGATTATCGTAAATGATAAACTTACTTGGAAACAACACATTCAGCATGTAAGT